CTCTCGGTGCGCGGCAGTCAATTTTCGCTGATGGCGTACATCAATAAATAATTTTTTACTTTTTTTCTTTTCTTTTCTTTTCTTTTCGTTGCTCTTCTCTGATCATTCCGCAATGCTGCGTTGACGTTGGTAATATCGCGCCTGTTCTTTACTATTTTATTTTACATTTTATTGCGCTATTTAATCCGAAAGCAACACCAACAACAAGAAAAGCAGCAGTGTGAATGGTTGTGCTTGACCGAGCTCGTCGCGAGCAGCTAGTATATGCAAATCCCAGCACACACTCTCACACGGAGCCGGACTAACCGGACCTATTCAACGATAAACTGCGGAGCATCACTCTGCTTGTGCGCGTGTGTTTGTGTATGAAGCATCTCCTCCTCGTCATCTTCGGCGGTTGAGATCAAAGCGTTAAGCAGCGAAAAACAGGCGGAATTAGCCAAAAAGACTTATTGGAAAACAACAAGTATGAAAGAAAATGTGAAGCGAGCTCGATCTGGTGGCGATCCACACACGTCGGTGGTCCGATGGGTTGGCGCGCTGCGGGTGCACTGCAATGGCCCACCACAGATCGACTTGGTGTATACCGACGGACGTGCGATGTGCCATCTCTTGCCGCGCTTGGCGTGCTTGGCGTGCAGACAAATATGAATCGTTATGATCAGCGCCAGCACCAATCGCCACTGTCGTAGAGTCGCCGTAGAGTCATGGAGGCCGCGGCCCACTCGCGCGAGATAAGAGTATACAGCAAGCTGTTGGTCCGCGTTGTGTGTGCGCATCGAATTTTTTCTTCATTTTGCAGAGGATGCGATTATTTCGATTTTTTATTAACGCTTCACTTTGATAATCACACAGAGCAGCAGCTACTTGAGCTGACGTTGAACGGCCGAGGACGACGACGACGACGACGACGAAGTTAATTAATGAATAAGTAATACTTTTGATAGAAAATCAATGAGGAAGTGTAATTTTTAAGTCAAAAACTAACAAGCTACGTTAGAAGTAATGACGTACGCGACATTAAATGAATGAAGCGTTCGATAATGTGTGCGGTTGATCCACGATGGCTGGTGCTAACAACGTCGATAAAGTGTGCTCAATGGAGTAAACTTTGATGGAGTTATTGGCTGACGTAGTAGTGTAGTAAAATGTTTGATTAAACTGAGTTTGAAGCAACGGCACCTTCAAAGGGATGGAATGATAAAGCGGCAGCGACTAGTATGTACGGCACATCAAAAGCTGGGAGATACCAAGTAAAGATGTAGCCAATACAGCACACAGGCTGTACATGTACCCTGGAGCGTGATGTTTTTGGTAGAAGACGGCACTATAATGGGCTCTCACTGAGCTCAGCTCAAATAAGGAGCTAAGTGCTCGGATTCTTGGGTCGGCACTTCGTCCTTGAGCAGGGAGGTCATTATTGACTTTTATTTCTGTATGCTCTTCGGTAAAATCTCGATTTACTGAAACTTTTTCATGCCGAGTATCAATGATAGGGACGGAAGAGCCAAGCTTTTCGCGGTATTTTTAAGTTTCAAAGAGACGTGAAGAGCCGCGCAGCACTTTTTTTAGTCAGAACTTTCATGTTTTCCAAAATATGCGGTAGACACGAAATGAGTAAGCCTTTGTGGGTACAACCAATGGTTACCCAACTCGAAGTACATCAACTAGTAAGCTGTGTATAAAGTAATTCCGACGAGCTCGAAATAACTGGCATAACCGACCAGCAGCAAACATCGACGAGTTGAAGACCGTCAAAGGGCGATTTTGAGCAAAAAAGCTGTATAAACTAAATCCCATCGGCATCCTGAAAAGACACCTCGGTGCGAGATCATAGTTCGGTGGTATTAAGTCTGCCTTAACAATAAGAAACGTATGAGAAAATTCGTCCACTAGTAGAAAATGGGGTGATCTCCTCGAAACTGCATAACTTTCAGAAAATGTAAGAATATGAAAAGCCACTTACCACGACAAACGGACCTAAGCATGCCTTTCAAATATTCAACCATTTTATGCGCCTTGGAGATCCACCAGCTGAGAAAACAACAGTTAACGAGGCACAAAACGAAACTTTGCCGCCCAAAAAATAAAAAAAAAAAACCTTTTGTTCGCCATGGAGCGCCATTACAAGCCAACAGCAGCAGCATAAATATCAAAATGTAAAGGCAGTTATCACCGCTGCCGCTATTAACACACACACACATACACTCTTATGTACACATGCAGCGGCGTCATGTGTGGCAAGTAGCCAGCGGCACTTTTAATAGTAGACAAACGAAATTTTTTTATTTTGAATTTTTTTTTATAACTTTTTTACTTCTTCGAGATTTTTCAGCAACACAATTGCTACTTTTTGTTTGATGTCATTGTTGTTGTAGTCGTTTAGCAATAAATAAACTTGTATTGCACAATGGCAGCAACAACAAAAACAATAGCAAACATAAGCAAAAGCGTTGTTAACAAGAAATCAATTGAAGTTGCCGACAAAAATGGCGCCGTTAAAGGCGGCGATTGACTTTTTCTTCAGTATACGTAAGAAATAATATGGCGTATGGAGAGTAAGAGTGGAAAGCAAAAAAAAAAAATAAAAATTAAATACTTCATCTTTAATATATATATATTTTTTTTTAATTTAAAAGCTTCGAAGCATAGCTCAAAGACTTCTTCTATAATTTGAGTATAAAAAAAATTTAATAACTGACACTTGCAATTTTTTTCTCATAAATATAGCGTATATGCATATGTATGTGTAGATATAGGAAAATTAATTGTTAAGGCGGCGTTGTATTAATGAGCCAATAAAAATTTTTCTCAATTTGAAATCAATGCTTTTTTACGTAACAAAAATCTGGTGAATAAAATATTTCTAAAAAACTTTTAAGTTTTGCTGTTCAAAAAAATTTTGTATTTAAAAATATTCAATTTGAAAGTTATGAAAATACGAAGTTTCAACAAGCTTTTAAAAATAATTTAAATTTCTTAAATTAAATTAAAATTTTATTTTTATTTATTTGAAAAAATATCTAAATAAAAATAAAAAAATATGAAAGAAAATCGTTTCAAAAACTTTTTTTAAATTTATTCATTATAAATCTATTTATAAAATTGAAAAATTTTTTTTTGTTAATTGTATAACAGAACTTATTTAAAAAAAGAAGTCTTGCTACTGTAATCAAAATAATTATAATTTAATAAAAAATATGTAATTTACCAAAAATAGTAAAAAAATATTAAAATAATATATTTAAATAATAAAATTATTTAAATGACAAAAATAATTTTATTTAATAAAAAATAACAATTTTTTTAATAATAAACCAGTGTAGTTTTTTGCAAAAATATAAATAAATAAATAAATAATAAATGTAAATTAATAAAAAAAGTTATTTAATTAACAAATAATAATTCTTATTTAAAAATATAAATTTGAATTATTAAGAAAAATAATTAAATATTATATCAAATAAAAACAAAAATTAGTAGTTTAATAAAAAATTGTTTTATATAATAATAATTACTAAATCAAATTTATAAGTATAAATAAGTATAATCTAAGCTATTATTAAAAATAATTTAATTTATTAGAAAAGATTAATTAATAGAATAATTTAATTAAAAATAGCTATTCAATCGAAAAAAAATAATTTAAATAAAATAATTTATTAAAAAGAAAATTTTTTTATTAAATGTTGTTTCAAATTTGTTAAAAATGACATTAATAGAAACATTAAAACAAAAATAATTTAATTTGACAAAAAACAATAATTATTTGATTTAAAAAGAAATGAAATTTAAGATAAATTAAATTAACTTAATAAAAAAATAATTTAAAGACCGATTTAATTGAAAAATAATTTAATTTAATGAAAAATATGTTTAGGAAATTTTTTAATTCAATAAATAATAATAAGTTAATTTATTGAAAAGGACTAAATTGATTTTATAAAAAAATAATAACTTTTCGCAAAAAATTATAAGATTTAATAAAAAAAAATTAAATAAAAAATAATTATCTAATTTAATGAAAAACGTAATTTTATAAAAAATAATAAATTGACTTAATAAAAGAGTTAATTTAATTTAATAAAATAATAATTTAATTTAGCGATTTATTGAAAAAAATTATTTAGTTAATAAAAAATTTATTTAGAAAAAAATTTATTTAAGAAAAACACTTTGATTTATAGTTCTAATTTGTTAAAAATAATAATTTATATTAATAACAAAAATTAAAAAATAAATAATCCAATTTAAAAAAATTTTATTTAATAAAAATAATAATAAATTATCTTAATATAAAATATATAATTGAAAAAATAATTATTAATTAATTTAAAAAAAGCAATATAATCGAAAAATTATATAATTTAATAAAAATTTATTTAAAAACATTTGTTAAAAATATCCACTATTTTTTAATTTGCAATTGACAACATAAAATATTATTAAGCGAATTTTTAATTTAATCAGCACAATAAAATTCAAAAAGTTTACTTTCAAAATAATTTAGTTTAACATTTTTTATAAACTTTTATTAATTAAAAATTTTAAGTTTTCAGTTGGAATTATTTAAATTAATTTTTTTTTAATGCAAAAAAATGGAATCTATTAATATTTGTTATTAAAGACGCTTAATTTAAATATTTTTCTTCAGAAAACATGTATATAACATTTATTTTTTGAATTTATTAATTCCTTCCTACGCTCATTATACAACATTCTTTTTTTTTCATTTAATTCTTCTAATTTCTCATTTAATTTTTGTATTGTAAAATACCATCATTAATTGCATTAAATTTGACAAATTGAGAAAAATTTTTATTTTTTTACCAAACTTGTTTCGTGCTTTGCAGAAGCAGCAGCAGTATTTGGCGGCCATTTTCTGTTTTCAACATCGAAAATAACGAGACTTTTTTGTGAGAGACATTTTTTTTTTAAATGATTCTGTTTTTTTTTTGTCATGAAATTTTCGGTAAACAGAGAAGACGTACAGTACTTACAAATCCATGTTTATCACTAATATTGTTGGTCAATTTTAATTTGTGAAATGAGACGACCTTCTGCATCCACTGTTCGCCGGTTGTCGGCGAATCGGGGTGGATGTACATGCGTTTTGGCATTTCTGGATCCGCTTTGCCGGCGATCATCCAGCGACTAGAAGAAGAATAAAGAAATTATGGCTGTTAATATTTATTTATAATAAATAAATTTTCTAATTTCATTTCTACTTTTTGCCGCTGAAAATTTTAGTTTTTATTTAAATATTAAAATACACTCACCTATTATGAAACTTATAACGGTAATCGTCCGCAGCAACGATATCCAAGAGCAAAATATATTTCGCCTTCGCGTCTAAGCCGGAAACGCGAAATTTCATTTGAGGAAACATTTGCCTACAAAAAGAAAAAAGGAATAAAAAATCAATTAATTTTTGTTTTTTATGTCAAAAAAAAAATATACAGATAAAAATATTAATTATATATTTTATTTCATTACTAAATTTTTTTTTGTAACTTTAAAAAATATTAAAATATAATTTTTAAATTTTAAAATCAAAAATATAACTAATTTTTATTTTGAAAATTTTTTTTTACAGTTTCCTTCCAAAAAGATTATGTAAAAAATATTAAAATTAGATGTCATATATGAAAATAAAAAAAAAAATATTAAAATCAGATCAGATTTTTATCAAAATCCGAAATTTTAAAAATATTTTTTTTTTATAAAAAAAATTGATAAATTTTTCCAATTTTTAATTTTTAATTTCCAAAAATAGCAAACAATTAATTGAATCTTTCACTGCATGTGGACAGCAGAAAGTTGTGGTAATTATGGTGAAAAATAATTTTCAAATATTGTAATCACCAGCCCCACCGCAATAAAGACATTCAATTTATGATGTTGCAGCAACAACAACGAATCCCAAGCAAGCGGCAGCAATTTGCATTTTTTGTTCTTGTTTGTGTTTGTATAATTTGACCACCAAAATCTCATTCAATTTGCTTTGTAATTTACAACTTTTTTTCTTCTTATTTTTCTCGCTCATCAAGTGGCGCCTGCTGGTGGCGCCACAAACACACACACACACACACATGCTTATGCGGAGTAGAATAACAGTCAAATTTACAAATTTTCACTCAAGACGCCAACGACGTTTATTTCATGCTTGCAGCAAACTAAATTGAAATTGACTGCAGCAGCAACAACAACCATAACTACATTAGCAGTGGTTAAGGAGTAAGAAAAAGTTGCAAACTCGAAAATTGCCACCACATCAAGGCAACAACTATCAACAAGCATATTTACTTTATACCAACGAAAGGCCATGCCACACAAGGCCTACATAAGTAGCTGTAGTAGAAGAAGAACAAGAGGCAGGGGGAGCAGCCGCAGCCGCAGCAGCAGTGGAAGCACAAATTGAATTGAAAGGCAAGCGGATAGCGGCAGTTAGAGCGCCAGCGGTCATTATGTGGGCTGATCGCACTAATGTTGCAGCTTACGGCTAACCATACTCACGTATGTTTGTATGTGTATGTGTGTGTGTATGTGTGTGTGTATATGTTTATGCATACACTGGTTACCACTGCAGGCCACAAACTCTCACAACGTTCGACGTCCGAAAAACCAACAAACCATTAAATCCGAAAGCAAACATTTTTATTTGGGCTGCATGTTGCAAGTTCATCATAAAGTTGGCCGGCACAAACACACATGCGAGTACATATATATATCTTAATGTAGGTTCTATATTGTTGCTGCGGTCTGGCGCTTGCGCTCACCACCGCCCATTTACAACAAATATGAAAATTATAACTTTAGGCAGCAATCACTCAATCTGGGCAGCAGCAGCAGCAGACCCAAGCAGGCACGCAGTAAGCCAGGCAACAGTAACAAGGAGTGTGATATAAATTCTCTTGTTGGAAAATGCACAGTGGAAAAAGAAATATTTCGAAGGAAAACGAGCAAAAACTTGGGAGAAATAGAAAACTTGAAGAAAAAAAATTATTAAAATAAAAAAATAAATTAATAAAAAAGTTATCATTATTTAAAAAAAATAAAAAGATATAAATACTAAAAAAATATTAAAAAAAAAAATTTATGAAGTTCCAATAATAGAAAACATCTAATTTATTTTAAGGGAAACGCGCTAAAATTTAGAAATATAGATAAATTATTGAAAAAAATTGTTCTAGGTTTTATGTTTTTAAAAATTATTAAAATAATTTAAATAAAAAAATAAATTTAAAGCATTGAAAATAAATTAAAAAAAATTATAATATTTAATACGTATAAATATTTTAATACTTTTAAATTATAAGAATATAAAAAAATAAAAAAAAAAATAAAAGTAAGAAAATTTATATAAAATATCAGAATAATTTTATTAAACATATTTCAAAACTTATAAAGGGAACAAAATTCCAATTTTCAGCCCTAAAAACGATGTTTAATAAATTATTTATAAAAATACATTTTAATATTATAAAATTAAAAATCTAATTTATTTATTATTTAAATTTATTAAAATGAAAATGTAGCAAAAAATGTTTCTGTATTCTTTAGTTTAGAAAACTACTCGAAGGAAAAGCGAAATTCAAGAATTTATAATGATCTACATTATTATTATTATTATTACATTATATAATATTTAAAACCAATTTTTTTTATTATAAATAAAAATGAATTATTTTTTGGAAAAGTTTTCAATTTTTGTTTGTTTGGAAATATTTTATTTCTGCTGCTTACAAACAATAATTTATTAATAAATTTAATTTTCTAAAATATTTTATTTTATAAAAATTTAAAAGCTTACTCTCGAGAAAAGTAAACTGAATTTTGGTTATAATTTTTCAAAAGTTTTTGTATTGTATATCTTTATGTGTATATTTTTTAATTATTTTGACAAAATATACTTTTTAAAGATAAATGTGAAGGTTAAAAATGTTATATCCGTATAAAAAAAAATTATCTTTAATTTTTTTTTTGCAATTTTAACTACATATTTTTCTAAAAAAAAAAATTTTTTATTTTTTATTTCAGCGATGGTCTCTACGAACGAAAAAGTAAGAGCCATTCAGTTGTATTACTTTTTAATTGCTTTATTTTTTTATTATTTTATTATTCAAGGTATTATTAAAGATTCACAAAAACGAAAAAAAGATTAAGAACGAATATAAACATAACTAACAAAATTTTCCGAATTTTTTTTACAAATAATTATTTGGTATAATATTTACTTATTATTTATTTCTAATTCACTTTTAAAAAAAATGAAATAAAACTTTTTTATAATTTTTTTTTGCGGCCATGCTATATATTAATTTTTATTAAGTAAACTACGAGGCCTTGTTTCTTTATTAATTTTATTATTTATATATATAAAACAAGAAAAAATTAAAAAAAAAAAAATTTTCATAAAACATGTATTTTCGAAATTTTTCACGCAATTAATTATTATTTTAGATTTTTATATAAAAAAATTTTTTTAACTTTTCATTATTTATTTTTATTATTTAATGTATATTATTTTATGGGAAATATATAAATTTTTTCCTTATCTTTTAAACTTAATTAAAACTTTTTTCCAAAAAATTCCTTCTTCCATTGTAAAAATCGCGTTTCAAAATATATTTGACACAACTTCAAATTTATTAATTACACATTCGTCTCAACAAACTGCAAAATGCTATAATATAATTAACCGTGAAAACAGTGTTTAAAAAATTTTTGGTGAAAAGAGAAATTGCAAAAAAAAAAAATAATTAAAAAAAATTGCTTTGAACGAAAAAAATTCGTTATACCACCAAGTGGCATAATTCAAGTTATTGAAAGTTAAAATTTATGTGGGCTGACATTATTTGCATTTTTTCTGCAACAAATCATACAACCAAAATAAAAAGAGCTAAAAAGAAAACAATAACAATGTGGAGAAGCAACTAGCTTACAACGATAACGAGAATATAACAAAAAAGAAGGAATTTGGCAGCAGCAACAACAACAATAACAACAACAAGCCAGCAAACAGCACCCATTCATAACCATCAACCACATCACCCTCAGCAGCAAGACACTTGAAGCAACAACAATAAGAACAACAACAAACACGAAAGAATGAACATAAATCTATGCGCTCATCGCCTCATCGTCATCGTGCGATCGTCAACTGGGCGGGCTGTGAGCGACGCGCCATAGCGCCAGTTTAAACGGACTATCTAGTTGATGTTGGTGTGTGCTTGTTGCTGTTGTTGTTGTTGCTGCTGATGATGACGATGATGATGATTGCAGTGAATATGATAAAGATGATGATCGTCATTGGCGCTTTGTTGGTGTTGTTGTTGTTGCTCTTCTTCTTCGTGTTTATGTTGTTGCTGTTGTTGGCGCTGTCATCATTTGTGCTGCACGCGCAGTTAGTTCGTTAAATTTGATTCATGAGTCTGGCGCTCGATCGCAACTGTCTGCTGCTGCTGCTGCTAGTGCCGCCGCCTGCCTGCTTTTGCTGTAGATCCCTCTGTGCTGTTTGCTTTGGCCTCCTTCCTCCAACTAACTGGCCACTGCTGCAGTAAATTTGAGTTTTTGGCCCTTTTTTAATGCCTTTGGGCGCTTACTTTTAATATTCGGTCTGCATCTTCATTTCATTCCATGCTTTGTTACACGGTGCGAAAAAAGTGATCTTCTGACTGACACTGAAAGTGACAAGATCGGTTCAGATTAGTCCATTTAATATAGAAAATAAACTCTCAGTATTAAGAGAATTAAGCACTTGAACGTGGAGAAAGATCTTAAAGTGCCCAAGATCAGTCATTTTCTTGTCAAAACTAAAATCTCACTTAGAGATCCTTTAATTTAAAAAGAAAAAAATGTGTTTGTTAAGATTTTGGGTTCATTTAAGTCAGTCATATTGCAGATAATAGTAACATGATCACCTCGCGATCACTTCAAAAGGGTTGCGAAAGTTAAGTTCGTTTTCAAAAGGTCGAAAACTGTTTATTAGATATAAAATAAAATTCAGTTCCAATGCTTTTGATGTCTTAAAATATGTTAATGATCATCTTTGAATCTGAAGATCAACTGCCGGCTATCTGAGCTCAAAAATATAGCAAAGGATATATGATTATTTGCTTTATTTAAGTACAAGTTATAAAAATAAACACAAAAAATTAGTTTTTAAAGAGATTTAGTAAGCTGTATTTGAATCTTTTAGTAACAAGGCTACTCAGCGATCGCTACATAAAATTCATGATCGCTACCAATTAAGAGTACAGCAAAAAATATGACACAGAACATTATATTTTTGTCTTAAATTTTAGTAGTTCGGTCAAACATTTAGTGGTTTTCCGCATCTTTAGTGATCTTGCACCGATCGTGTTGAGATATTTTATTAATTTTACAATTT